ACCTTATTGTACACATCAGACACACTGATACAACTGGTACACTGTGCGCACCTTATTGTACACATCAGACACACTGATACAACTGGTACACTGTGTACACCCTATTGTACACATCAGGCACACCGATACCACTGGTACACTGTGCACACCTTATTGTACACATCAGACGCACCGATACCACTGGTACACTGTGCACACCTTATTGTACACATCAGACACACTGATACAACTGGTACACTGTGCGCACCTTATTGTACACAGCAGACGCACTGATACAACTTACATACGGACACAGCTGCCATATATACACCTTATTGTGTGCAAGAATCATTTTGAGAAATTTCTTACGGTTTAGTTTAACTTCTTGATTTGTTTTCATAGATCATCGAATGAGCAAGCGGTGTGTTTTAAGGGAAACTTTACGCCTTGAAAAAACACAAGAACTTGCCCCATGAAGTGAAGTTTAGCTTGGAGGTCGTTAGCTCGTTCGTATCACCAGAAGAGAAAGGAATCGAAATAAAAAACAGTGGTAATGAATAAGAAGAAGAAGCAGAAGAAGAAAAAGAGAAGATCGAAAAATTCTTAATAAGGGTGGTTATTTTGTTACTGGATAAATGAATAAGTATTGAGTAAAAGAAAGAAGTTTGGGAGGAAGAACCTTAGAAGTTACGTAATATCAAAATAGATCGCCTGAACACTTTCTGCATTGAAGCGCTTTTCTTAAAGTCCAAAGCCATTTTGAGTAGTCAACTATTGCTAATTCTCCCTTGTCCGGCTTATCTCCAGTGTAATATAATTCTACAGCACAGCTGACAACGCAATACAATAAAAACAATACCAGCTTTACAATCAATAGGAAGAGTCACAATAGATATAACAAAAGACCAGTATAAATTGTATTCAACTGGAGATAACCTCCAGATTCTCTCTGGCTGTGTATCGTACCCCTCGAAGGGTTTACGCGATAGGGGTATCAGTGACTAGTTTATCTAGATTAGATAGATGGAGTTTAGTAGAGCATCTATAAGTGACGGGGCCACAATTCAAGGCTCCCAACTCGAGCTTTTCAATTACCAAATACTGATATTCAAACATTAAACGAGGGGTAATTAGGTGGCACCGCCCCTTTTCGTGCCCTCAACTGATTAGGTAAAGAACATGAAAATCTCTTTGCCAGAACCAGACCCCGGTTGTACCGAGGGTGGATAGCGCTATCCAACGAGTAAATCCCTTATCCAGTGGATAAATCAATGCTGTTATCCAATAAATTTATCACGACCTTGCTCTGGAAACTCTCGAAGTGCTAGGATCAATGTTTGGTAAGCGATTTGAGATCCTTAGCAGAACAAGACAGAAGATAAAACAACAAACAGCTACAGAAAAACACGTGAGTCTTTAATAACAGATGATTAGAAAACGTAACACTGAACTAGGAATAAACATCGAAAAAAGTTGTTTCAGGGACCATACAATAGACATCCTCGGCTCTGACGTAATGCTTTCCCATTTCAGACCACCTGTCATTCCCTAGAGTATCATTTCTTTGTTTAAGGTTTGCGCTCGCTTGCACATGAGAAGACACATGAATATGGATACAACTCAAACGAAGAATATTATTCTCAAGGGAATGACACGTGGTCTGAAATGCGACAACATTACGTTCGAGCGCTCCAGAGCCGAGGAGTTCTATTAATGATAATTATGGGCCAAAATTGTTTTACTTTATATTCAGCTTAAGCAACTGAGATTGCGATCACATGCTTCACTTGAAATTAAAGTAAGGCAATGTTTTTCATTGGCTATTACGTTGAATAA